AATTGCTTCTGAATTGCCTCCTCATTTACACCTTCATATTTGAAGTTGCTACAACCTTCCAAAAATCGTCCCACATGAGAGTGTGATTCTCCTCAATTCTCCCATAGAATGAATTCCCATTGGAAAACAAGTTTATGACATCTGGTCGAAGTTGAAAGTTTGGATGATCGTATGATGGGTACATAATACTTGATTGATTTGCCACAACAGGAGGATTCATGAGGTCTCCAAAACGCATGTCCTCTTCTTTCACCACGAGTTCTTGAACTCCTTGTGCTTGAGGAATAACACCCGGTGGAGCGATAAGATTAACATTTCCCCTATGATTAGTCATCTCAACTTGAAGTTGTCTTCTTGTTTCTCGTTGTTCTCTTAGTCTTCTCGAAAAGTTCCTTCAATGTCCGGATCAAAATCAACTAGATCAAGACTTCTCGACCAATGCATACACGATCAAAGACCTAGCACAACACAAATGAGAAATTGAACTTCCAAAACAAAATAATCAAAAATAAAGAAAATAAAATAAAATGTTAAAACTAATATCAACTAAAGTAGTAATCAAAATAGATCATTCCCCGACAACAACGCCAAAAAATTGTTCGCTAAAATTATATACCGCAAGTGCACGAGTCGCGTTCAAATAATAAAGTGGACTTTTTGGAGTTCGGGTTGTCGATCCCTCGAGGAATGTTTACTTTTGATTATACAACTTTAATCAATTTAATTTTAACAATAAAAACAAACACACAATAAAATTTGATTTTGGAAAATAAAGAAAATTAACTAAAATCTACGAAATAAGAAAATATAAACACTTGAGATTTTCGGAAGGAAAACGTGGTTGTGATTCATGATTTCGTTTAACCGTCGCCTAATTAATTTTTCTACAAGCCAATTAACGAATTACTCATTTACTATGTTAGACTCGATATTCCAATTTTAGTCAATTACCCCCTCGAGCGACATTAACCCCAATTGATTGATTTAACATATTATATCTCTATGTCGATTACAACCAAATAACCGCATTCAATATTTGTGAAAATAGCTCATTGGGTCACCTATGGCTAATGGTATATCTCTATCCATTAAACACACCTAGGGTTTCTACTATTTGGTTTAAAATGCACAATCTTCTCTCCAACGATATACAAATCACTAAACACAATCATCTATTGGTAACATAAATGAAAATGCATGAAATACAATAGTAGAAACACATGAAAATAAATAACATAACATTAAAGAGCAAATATTAAAATTAATTAAAAGTTAGGTTAAACTAATACCACAATTCTCAGCACAATCAAGTAGCCCATTTTATACATTTGATAGCAAAGGAGAATATGCATAACATTCATTATTAAAAAATGCAAAATAAATGAGAAAATACATAATATAGATAAACCCCCCTTTTTTGTTTGGCTTAATTTTCCCAAATATTTTTCCAAATCTTTGATTGAATCTCCTTGCGCTCTAAATTGTAGCTCCAAAAAATCAAGTAAAACCAAAGAAAAATGAAGAGAAAAAAAAATGAAAATGAAGGAAAATAAAAATGAAAGAAACCAGCGGTGGGAAGCAGTCAGAAGCCAATCTAGCAGAAGACCAATTTGAGGTTTTAATTCAAAACTTAATGAATATTGCATCCTCAAGTCCCTGAAGTTTGAAGTTTTGAGAGATTGACAAAAAGGGCCCCAATTGCTACAGTGCCGCCTAGGCGCCAAGTTTCTGCCCAAAACCAAAATTTTGGTTTCAATTTTGCAGCCAAGTCCCTAGGTAATTGTATGCAAGTCCCTCAACTTTGATCTTGTACAATTTGGTCCTCAAAGTTTGACTTTTATATCAATTATGCCCATCATAAATTGCATTCAAGATCCTTCAACTTTTTTGCTTTGCTCACTTTTTGTCCATTTTTTCCTCATTTTGTCTTGTTATCTTTCCTTGAGTGATTTTTGGCCTATAAAAGCAAATATTACGTAATTGTGAATAGACTCTCATTCATTTTATCAATAAAAAGCATATTTAGATATTAAATAAGTGTGAAAAAACATACTTATCAACAATCAACCAAATAATTGATCAAAAACCTCACCCCTACCCCACCCACCTCACCACCTCCACAACTACCACCATCACCATCCTCACCACCTCATCCAACATCACAATCACCAAAAATTAACATATTTATTGATCACAATTGCCCAAATAATTGATCACATACGAACTTCACCACCACCACCACCACCAACCTCACCACTAACCCCAATTTAAAATTGTTAGTAGGAGCTTGTAATTTTCAAAATTACACTAGAGGCCCTGCCCCAATCCTTACCCAATCCCTAATTTCATTCCCTTTTTCTTTATAACCGTCGGCATCGTCGTCGCTCTGTTGCCGCCAGGCAACGCTACTGACTGTCCTTAAAGTTATTATATACAGATCTAATCAGCACACTCCATATATGTTATATACATACCTAATCAACATACACAATTACACAGTCATGATTTCATGGCGTATAATTTGCTTCTGTGAATCCGTTTGCATTCCCATCAAGTTTCTCTGATAATCCATTGCTTGTCACTGCAAGCGCAGTAATCTATTGCAATAATTTAATCATAATAGAGAAGTGACGATTGTATTTGCATTGTGATTCTCGTAAATGTACAATTGAAGATGAATCGGAGCTTCAAGGAATTTACGATCGATGAGTCGGACTTTTCCTCCGCTGCCGCTATCTCAGCATCGACGAGGTCTCAGCCTTAACGAACTCCCCAACTTTAAGAACTCCATCGACAATAACTTGAAACTCTTATCCAAGAACCGTCGGAGTCTGCTCGTTGCTACCTCTTGAAGCTACAAGTTGTGATCTTCTGGTGGCGATCTTTCGACGACAATAAGAATAGAGAGAAAAGTGAGAGGCCTACCAGCTTTGATAATTTCTTATTGTGTGAGAGTGGGGAAGAGGGGAGAGAAAAAGAGAGAGTGTAAACTTTTGGGTTAAATTTGGTAGGTTGGATGGAATTGGATGGGGTGAATATTTTATAATATTAATATTAATATTAATAGTTGAATTATTATCTGATTTATGAATAAGTAAAGTTTATGCCCTTATTGGACCCCTATTTTTTAAAAATACATTTTTTCTTTTTCTTTTTAACCACACATTTCAATAAAATAATATTACACGCAAATTCAAAAAAATTTCTTATTTTTTAATCACAAATTCTCTATCAATCTACTATTTCAAAATGCATTCCATACAAAAAATGAGTCTCAAACAGGCCGTGTATCTCATTTTTGAATGGGAAAAATTCATAAATAAAAGTTTAACTATAACTCATTTCAAAATAAAGGTAAAATGTTTAAAATTTCAAAAATTAGATATTTATTAAATTTTATTTTTGAAATAATTAATTAAAAATATATTTTATAAATTAAAAATAAGGTCACAATTTTATGCAGTTTGGTCACAAATTATCCAATTAATTAGTTACAAATAATTTATCGGTTACAATTAATTTTTTTTATAGATCACACATTAATCAAATTAATAGGTCACATATTATTCATTGGCCACAAATCACAAATTTTATAAGTCACAACTTATTTCATGATCACAAAAATATCAAATTAATTGGCCACAAATTATGTTTAGATCACAAATTATCAAATTATTGGTCACAAATTAACAATTTTTAGGTCACACATTATTTATTAGTCACAATTTATCTATTTCATTGGTCATAAATAATCAAATCATTTGTGACCACTACTACCAGCCGCATCGTCGCTGAAATCATTGCAGCCAGAACCATCGCTACCATCTCCAGTAGCAAAATCGTCATCTCAAACACCGCAACCAACACCACCACCAACCTACATCTCAACAACCACAACCACAACCAAAAAAATCTTCAAATTTGCTGCTGGCACTACCACCACCGTCGTCAACACGCCACATAAATCACTACACCACCACACACAACCCACCATAACAACCACATTATCTCCCGGAACAAACCAACGTTGCCACCTCTCGGCACCACAATGCCACCTCCAACAATCTACCATTTTGAACCTCAAAACCATCACTGCCACCAACACAACCAGCACCACAACTGTTTGTGACCACCACCGCAACACCGTCAACAACACTAACACTTGTGACCACCACCCCCACACCGTCAAATCCAAAATCGCCAACACTCTTACAACCATCTCGCAATCACCACAATGCTAGCACCAGAATTGGAATGCCGATTGACGAGGATGAAATCCAACAAATCAGATCGAAACTGCCAGCACCAGGATGTTGCTCGATAAAGATGAAAGCCGCATGGGAGGAAAACGTCGTCGAGCACGTCAGGTTGAATGTTTTCGAGTGCATTGGGGTGAACGCTGCATGGAGGGAAATCGTCATCGAGCGGCAACATGGTGGGGTGGAGAGAGATGTTGCTGCGGATCTGATGGCTCATGGCGCTCAGCGCAACAACGACATCACCCCTCACGACTCCGAAAACGTGGTGGGATGAAGAGAGAATTTGTTGCAGATCCAGTGGGGCTCACAGTGCACAGCAACGGCGACATCTCCGCCTTCAACTCGCTTCATCCGCGACATTGTTGCTGCGGTGGTATGACGATATTTTTCGTTGGTTGAGAGAGAGAGATGGAGATGGGTTTTGGGTAGGTGATTGGGTTGGATAGGTAGATATGTGTATTAATATAATTATTAATATTAAAATTTTGAATTGTTATCTGATTTTTGAATAAAAAACATATAAATCTTATTTTTGAATTGTAAATTTAAAAAATCTGGGTGGATTTCCACCTTTTGAATTACAATCCTTACAAATCTGCCCGGTGTAATTTCCACGTATAAAAATCTAAATTTTGGGCCGACATTTTGTCTGGAAGGCTATTGGGAAAAAACCCGAATACTGTGGATTTGCTTAACCCGAATTAAACAGTTAAGATTTCAAACTCCACCACGACGAGGGAAATGGACTCCGTCACCACGACGGAGGCGGCGCTTCTTTCCAAACTCCAGTCCTCCAGTGACCTCACGGATCTCCACCGCGCATTCACCTTACACCTCGAGCCCTTTAGTATTCATCTTAAACGCACCACCATCAAAAAATCCTCAAAATCCAATTCTACTGACGACCAGCGCGCCATACGAAACCTTGCAAAACAGTTCTTACCTTTTCTTCACAAATCCCTCTCTCACATTCCCAAACGCCTCTCCGAATCCCCTAAAATTGCCCACCATTCCGCCCTTGGACTCTTCGATGCTTATCGCCTCTGCCTCAACTGCCTTGAATTGATAGCACCAGAGCTTGCTGGTAAATCCTATCCAGTTCAGGTTCAGAGGCTTCGGTACATACACTGTTTAGAGCACTGGGAGTTGTACGAAGATGCACAGACAGAGAGTTTTTCTGTGCTCGAGAGCTTTCAGAGGATTGTTAAAGGCGATTCAAAGGGTAAATTGAGGAAATCCAAGACACTGTTGGTTCCTGAAATTAATGAGAAGAGCGTTGATGAAGAATTTACGGTTTTAGTGTTGGAAACTGTCGTGACATTAGTGAAGTGTGCCTCAAAGAGTCAGAGTAAAGAAGATGCTGACTACTGGAGAGTTATTGCTTTGGCAAAGCAATCCCAGCCATTGTTCAAGTATGATTATATACACTAGTTCGCACATATATGTATATGCATAGGATTAGGCACATGCACATTTCTTGAAGTCACCTATTCCTTCATGGCCTTGCATATTATTAGTTATTTTGAACTATTGCAGTACAAACTAGTCTGTCATTTACACTATTTTGATTATTGGTGTTTCTGCAAACAATTCAGGGTTTTAGAAGCCAAGGACCGTGAGAAATTCCACCAATCACTTGTGTTGTATTTACATAGAATTGCTGTGTTTTTGGTTGGGGAATTGACCTTTTTCGAAGTTGATTTGATAATCAAGTTTTGTTTGACGACCTTTGAAGCATATAAGCAATCATCTGTCCAAGAGGATATGTACAAGGTGAAAATAATATAATTCTAAAGCTAGTGGATTTTGTTTGTGTTATGCTCTAGTTGTTATTATTTTTTTTAATACTGATTATTTTGTTTTTCTGGCTCTAGTTTGCAGGCAAGATCTGTTCTTATCTGTTCTTGCAAAAAAATGACCTATGCATTCACAGTGTTATTGACATATTGAAATGTGTGTTGAACTTTATGGCCACCGAATGCAAGGTAATTCTAGTATAAGAGACTTAGTTCTTCGATTGCAATTATTGACAGTCTTTCAGATACTGAGTATGCATGTCAGGGCATTTGTGGTGAATTGAAATGAAAAATATGAACTATTTTCAGCCGTTCATTTTACAAGTGTTTTGTAAAATATGACAAGGCATAGGAAGATCATAATTTGCTAAGATACAGCTTGTGTTAGATTACATAAATATCACTCTAAAATAATTTGAGGTTTCCGTAAACTGGAGGGGGTTCAATTTGTATCAACGTACACAATTTGCATGGTTAAGAGAATGTGTTCAAGCATTTTGTTTTTAATATTTCTAGAAGACTTATGTCCTGCATTGGAATTTGATAAACAATTCACGGGATAGATTACTCTAGGTGCCTTGATCTACATTAGTTGTATTAACTTTAATTAATGCTTCCTTTAAGTTAAGCTGTTCAATACTTTGTCACTTTAGAAAGTATCTCATCAGAGTGGTAACTTGATAGGCTTAATCTTTACTTGGCAGGTTGGAATGGAGAAAGCAAAACTGGAGTTTTTGGAACTTGTCTATTATTGTGTAAATAAATGTCGAGCTACAACTTTGAATATTTGTGATGCTGTTGCAGAGTATTTGAATGAATTAGGAGGCCACTTTTGTGAGGTATCACTTTTTGCATGTTCTAGTAATGCGCTTCTCAATATATGGGGTTACATTAATTGACCAAAGTGCACTGTCTGAAAATTTTTTTTTGTTCTGCTTGAAGGCTTTTTCGTCCATTAATTTGATTATGAGGCTTCATGCGACTGGATTGTTAATGAGTCCATTCATTCATCAGTCAAAGGGGGAAAAAGTTGCAAATTCAAGCAATATTAAGGATAGATCTGCCCTTCAATTCTTGCGGAATAAAGGGGACATGCTTCAGCAACTCAGTGGTTTACTTGATTTAGCAAAAGGCCAATTCAATATTGGTGCCAAAGAGAACAGCTTTCATGAAAGAGTGTCCTATTTATCTTCTTATTATGATGCTCTCAAATTTTTGTGTCAGCCAATTGCTGAATGCATCCATTCTGAAAGAACAGAGATTTTTGCCGAGACAGATGGTGTATCCTACTGGACCACCCTAGGAAGTATTCAGGATGCATTTCAACAATTATGCTATATCTTTCTCACTTATCAAAGGTATTGCATTTTTATGCTCCACTATGTTATGACCCATTCTCTCTCTCTTTTAAAATGTATCTAGTTGCATTTACACATAACCCTTTGAGTTTATCCCAGTCCGAAGTTAACAAGATTAACAGGTGAGCAGCTGTATGGTTTATGTTTCTATATAGATGCAGTGAAACTGAAAGGAAGATCGACATATCTGATGAGGATAGCAGACTTATATTTTCTGTAGTTGTGGCTTCTCTTGTGCTTTCATTCAAAAATGGCTATAATACCAAGGTTCTCGTTTAATCTTACTAAATATCTTGAGATAGTTATTATTACAAGTATTATTAGTATACTTTTAAATTGACAATGTGGGGGGGTGTAATGGCTAATCTATTTCTCATTTCTGATTGCAGGAGAGTGTCTCTTTAGTAGAGCATGTTATTTCGATAGACTGGTTTCCAGCCAAGAGGCTAAAGTACCTTTGTGTTTCTCTTCACAATGTAGCTGTGATTTTGAACAGAAATAAGCGGCTGAAAGAGGTATAAAAATTTGATGCTTCTGATTTAGTGCATTACATGGGACGTTATTTCAAATATTAAAATTTTTCTTCTTTTTCGTTAGATTTAGCCCCTGATTGGTGGGAATTAAAATCAGATTTCCATTAAATTTTGATAAAAGTTGATGAAATGTGTGATTGAAAAGTTATGGATTCTATAAAATGTGGTTAAAATTAATTGTTGACTTTGACTTATATTAAAATCTAGATTTTAATTTCTACCAAATAGGGGCACAAGTACCTGTTTACTTGTTTTGACAATAATAATTATTATTTTCTTTGGAATTACAAAGTGATTTTGATGATATTGTTTCTACTTGAATTTGATCTAGTGTTATTTCAATTTCAACATTCCTTGTTCTTGACTAATTTGTGAGACTGCCTTTTCTTTTTAGATATATAGAATCAAAATTATTTGTTTATATTAACTATTCTATGATGTAGAATTTTGCTATTCCTCGGAAGTTACATCACAACCATTCTGAATCTGTCAAATTTTTATATCAGTTTCATTATCTAATTTATTTATTTATGACAAGAGTCTTGCACATATTGCACTAATGGGTTATAACCTAACACTGAGATAATATTATGTTTTCTGCAGGCTGTAAAAGCTTTAAAGTTGTGTTGCAAAGCTTCATGGAAATGCACAGTAAATCTCTGTATAACACTCGTGGACAAATCAAATAAGTTTCATGATGACGTAGCAGAAGATACTGTTGCAGATTTTGTCAAAGAGGCTTCAGCAGAAACTGCTTTTTTGTTAGATTTACTTAATCATGGAAGTAACTGCAAGATGAATAAAATCATTAGAGAATGCCTTGAAAGCTGGTCTGTTGCTGAAAATTTGGTAGAAACACTGCCAGCTCCGGTATCTGTTGTGAAATGTTGGATAAAGGTAATATTCAAAATCTCGTCGTTGGCGCAGTTTTAATATTTCCCTAATCTGATTGTGACATTGTTTCCAGAGAGAATGTAAACTCTGTCAGGATGTGGAGGTAGAGAATGTTGCAATGCTGTACTCTTTAGCTTCATCTTCTATGGAAATGTCAAAAAGAACACTTGAAAAATTATTGGAACAGGTTCTACTTCTATCCTCCCCACCCACACACACACACACAGAGATACACACCCACTCACACTTACATACAAAAGTATTTGCACACAGAGCTATTATAACCTCAGAGTTTACTCACACTTACATACAAAAGGTATGTGCACACAAAGCTATTATATCTACCTCGGAGTTTAATGGCCTCTTCAACAACATTTATTGCTTAATTTTAATAGGAGCTTCTCATGTACAAAGAAATGAGGTCTCTGAACCCAAGATTATGTCACAAAATGCGATTGAAAATTATGGGTGTTCTTCTGGAAGAGGTTTACCTCACAAAAGATAAGTGTTTAGAGAAATCCAGAATTCTGATCGAAAAGGGAAGGGAACTAAGAGCTGATGGAATAACACAACTGCATGAGTCCGTGCAGTGTCTGTCTGGTGCAATTTCCACATTGGTGAGCCATCTATACATTATTTTTGCCTTGGCTGCTTCTGTCTATGTGCCACTCCTTTCATGGTTCTCACTTCATTTGGATGTTATAAATTGATGGTATTGAGTTAACATGAACTGTCTTTATAAGCAGAAGGCTATCTATGGAAAAGATAAAAGCTGCAGTTCTCGAGTTCACTATCTCCTGGCCTGCGCTTATATTATACGTGCACTATGTACCCAAGAGGCAGAACCTAACTCAGAGGCCTTTTTGTATAAAAGGCTAGTCTCTTGCATTGACTAAACTTACTGGAAGGTTTTGTATATTCTGTTGACGATTGAGTGCATGTGTCGTCCAGTTGTTTGATGCTTTTCCAGTCCTTTGTTTGAAACAGTAACTTTCTTCAAGATATCCAGGCTGCAGTTGAACTCTGCTCAAGTCGAAATCATTGCCATGCAGATGAACAGTGCAGTATGATGAGGGAAGATGCGCTAAATTTGTTCTATATGACCATTGATTTGCTATCGGTAAAGGTAACGGTCAGTACGTGCATATGGAGTAATTGGTGTGAGGTTTTCATAGATGTTCATGACCTCATTTTTCTTCTGTTTTTTCTCATTCCAGGGATACATGGAAATTCACCCCGGCATGTATGATGTGGTGATCCAGTTGTTTAACCTGAAAAACATTACCCTGAAGAAGATGTTGGCCGAACTCTGGAAAAACAGAAGGCTCAGTCACGCCCTCTGTGCTTCACCTATAAATGATGTGTTCATGAGAACTTTTTCTAAGCATTGTGATCAATTTTACAAGTCTGATGATTTCTGGAGAACTTGTGCTGTGGAAATGAAGCCACTACTAGCTGGGTTTGATCACACTGACGATGATATTAAGAAAGCTGCTTCTGATTTAATTTCCAATGTAAGCCCCTCTAATAATTTATAAAGTATCTTTCTGTATTTCAGGCTGAAAGAGATCGCACCTTCACACTGCTCAATATCTTTATATTCCTTTTGGCAGGTTACTCAAAACAGTGGCTCAACATTTCTTTCTTCGCATCTCTACTATGACTTGTCTGAAAGACTGATTCTAAAAGGAAAACTGATCGAGGTACCTCGAAAGAAAAATTGCTTCCATAAATTCTTTTCTTCATTTACTAGTTTGTACACGCAAATATGATTGCAGTACTTTCTAAAAGCATAATCTTTAGAGCTGCATAATGGGAGAAGATTGTTGAGAGTAGTAGCTTAAAAGAAGGGGCCCTAATGTAGAGTAGCCTTGGGCTCTGAGGGATTTTTCTCATCTGCAATGCTTGGATACTTGGTTAAATAGTTATCGCTTCCTAAAAAAAATTCTGGAAGTAGGGATGAGAAGAAAAGGCTTTCTGCTGTTGAATGAATTTAGTAAAATAAATAACTAGGCCAACTGTAATGCCAAATGAAGTTGTATCTTCAACTTTGAATAATTCTATTTTGTGGTGCTCATCGCTTCTAGCCTATATTTTAGCTCTTTTTATCTGCTTTGTATATAATTTTACATAGAGTTCAGATAAAATGATTTCATTTCATATACTTCCTAGAACAACTTAACCTACTTTGGACGTGTTGATTATGAACAGGTAGATTAGGTGTTGACCTTTTCTTCTACATTTAGAGAAAGCCACCCTTTATGAAGAATGCTTCCAAACATTAATAATGAATGATTTATGTTTTTTGAAGCATATTTATGCAGCCTTTTCAATTAAGAAATAAAATGGATAATCAACAGTTGAAATATTTTGGACTGTTTGGTTTCACAAGTATATTTGCTCTTTCTCCCTGAAGGAATCCACTGCTTTCATTGATCTAGTCATCTCTATTGGTCAGTAAAACTTCTTTCATACGTATCTTATAGGCTCTTTCATATGCAAAAGAAGCCCATAGATTACGTAGTAAACTTCTGCACGAGAAGTTTAAGTACTCAGCTGAGAATCAGACTGAAATCTTTGATGAAAATGGGGAGCTCGTGGAGAAGAGTTACTATAGCATTCAGACATTTCAAATTCGTTATTTAGTGACGAACAATGGGTGGTTGGGCGATGGCATTTCTTGTGACTATGAAGGCTGCATTCTTTCTCCTTGGAATGTACTTAGCTGTTACCTTGAAAGCGTTTTACAGGTATTGACTTTTCCATTCAAATATTCCTGATAAAGCTTTGATCTGAAATAATATTTCTGTAACAAACTCATAGTTTATCTCACTTGTCAATCACAGGTTGGAATTGTTCAAGAGATTCTAGGAGATGGCTCTGAAGCTGAAATGCTTTTTCGGTGGGGGAAGAGCATCTCACAGTTTCAGGGCTTGCCACTTTTTGAAATTTCTTTTTCTTCCATGCTAGGTTGGTTGTTCTATTCTGTTCCTCTACTTTATAAACTTGGATATAGGAACTCATTTTCTATTTTGAAACTTTATCAGGAAAACTATACCGGAAACAACAATTTTGGGCCTTGGCAGAAAAGGAATTACTCAGTGCTAAGAAAACCTTGGATGATAACCTCTCTGTCCTTTCTTGCATGAAATGTGTGTATGCACTTGAAGTTACCATTAATCAGCAACTTGGAGATTTATTCTTATGCAGATCTTGTAGTAATAGAGAAGAACCTTTTACAAAGAATTTTCATGCCAAAAGCTTGTACAGATTGGCATTAGAAAAGCTAAATCTATCTGAGTGGAGGAATTCTGTCTTTGATCCTGAAAATGCTAGGGATGAGCAGGTCATTTGCAGAGAGAGTTCATTTTCTGGTTGTGCACCTGATCTTGTAGTGGCAAAAGATTCATCTTCCCGAAATGATAAACCAGAAATTAAATTTGATTCCAAAAGATCTAGAAAAACTAAGAACTTGAAGCGTGATAAAGAGACACAAGGCATCATTGTTGATCAAAATCGTAGAATGACTCGTTCCACATATCGCTCTTTAGGTAAAAGTTGTGAGATCACTCCAGGTGACAAAAAAATTGGTGATGCTACTTACTTTAACAATGAGCATTTGTCCGCTAGCACTGTTGCTTGTCATCAAGATGCGCCTGATTTAGAAACTGAATGTTATGCTACTGATTTTGAATGTGATATCAACTGCCTTTGCAACAAGATGAGATGTTGGCACTGTCTTCACCTTGAAGCTGTTAACTCTGGTTCTTTGAACAGCTATGTATACATGAGGTGGGAACTTGTCCACAGAAAGCTTTCTTTAAGGCTACTCATAAGCATAGGTACGATGAAATTCTATTATTCTCAATATGTGTAGCCAGCTTATCAAATTTAATCGGTTAATACTGACCAGTTTGTCAATATATACAATTTGGCATTCAAGGGGTGAACGACAACTATGTTTGGCACACGGGATGACCATACAAAAAATTATGCATAAGATTAGAGGAGATAGTATTGAATAGTGAGCGTAGATAGTATGCATTATGTTTTTTCGTTCAAGGGAATGTTATTTGCACTATGTTTCTTATCTGGCCTAAACCTACCTCATTACTCCGAATTATCTTAAGAAAGATACTGCAAGTAACACCTTATGAATAAAAAACTAAAAAAAAAAAATACTATCCACCTTACTCCACCCTAATACAATTGATATAGTATATCTATTCTAATTTTATTTTTAATTCCTTATACGGTCTAATTTGGTGTACCAAACACATCCTAATTGTATATCCCAATGTTTACATTATTTTATTCTTTTCTGGCACAATTCTCCTGCTTTAATTACGACTTGACCCTTTATATTTGGTTCTCCATTTTTAGTAATTATTGTATGCAATTTGGTGAAGAGCATGTCAATATTGTTTTCTGAAAATTTTATTTTTCTTGATTGAATGAGAAAATTTTGCCAATGTTGCTGCATTCAAGTTTAAGATAAGATGCCTAAGACAATTGCTCACTGCAGAGTAAATCAAGTTTTTACTTTACTTATTTTTGGTTCTCATGCAATGTTTATGAACAAGCAGATACATAAATATGTGCATAGGAATGTGTATGTAGTTGGTATTCTTCTATATACTTTTCCTTTAAATTTTGTTTCCCGGAGCTTCCAGTTAACAGCCATTATCTGTGAATCATGCCATTCCTTTTTCCTAAATATCCTGACCTTATGTCTTGCAGGAAAATATGTAGGCCTATGTGGTGACATTCATGATGCACGCAAAATTTTCTTTCTAAGTATTTCAGTTCTTTTCAGAAAAACTTCTTTATGTTCTAAGTACTCTTCTACTTCCCTTACTTTGTTGATTGATTCGATTGGAATGGATTTCCCCGGAGATGTGTTAGCCGTTGAACGTGCTGCTCTTCTTTACTATATATGCTGGTTCACATTGAAAATCAATCCATATCCGGATACCAGGTATATAACAAAAGCATTTTTGATCTTCATGCTACCAATTAAATAGATGATTGTTTTAATGTGCCTTATTCTTGCCTGTATGAAAGATTTCCTGTTTCCTGTGCTAGACGATAAGTTTTAAGTTTGTTTTCTGCAGCAAATGTCTAAGACAGCTGAATCTTCAGTTTTGAATGACATTATATTATTCTGCATTTCTTGAAATGTGGTTTGGCAGACAAATTTGTTCTTCTGATTAGGAGACATCAATACATTACTTGCTCGTGAGGATTGTGTAATGTATAACATATAATCAGCTAGGTTTGCTAGTGACACTCAGTCAAACTATTGTTTCAAGTGATGAATAATAAATTCATCTTCTCCTGTAGGGAGCTCTATTTGTTATTTAAATGGGTATATGCTTATGCGTTCCTGAAGTAAAAGGTTCTTGTGGTTTCTTTTCCCCCTCCAGAGGGAAAATTTTGGTTGGTGCTTTACTTGCCCTTCTATTTGACCAACTTGATACTCTCTTCTTAAGCAGAAAAGTTTGTTATGAGAATTTGTGCATCGGGACATCAAAAATTGTTTCTCTACTGAAGTTGGCCTTTCTACTTTGTCGTGAAGCTCCTTTACTTTTTCAAAAGGTTAGATTTGCTCTTCATTTTTTTCCAGTTACAGTTATTGTAATTACTGTGTAAGGAGAGAGAACTCTCTCCAGGGTCTTTGTACCTCATCTTTGCTCATTTTATTTTGTTACATTCATTATGATGAAAATTTGTTTCAATGTGTACAAGGAAGGCATGTGTGAAGGCCAATATGAAGATATCTCTCTGCTTATTTTCTTAGAAGTTACAATGTTTCTTCCCTAAAATACACTCTTGGAACCTTTGAACTTGGTTCACTGGCATTGAACTCATTCAAAATGCACGGTCCACCCCTTGTGCTATATCCATTATGTCTGATTTCTTTTAAGGAACTGATGGTAGTGCATATCGAAGCCCATTTAGACATTAAAGGGACCTATTTTCCAATTATGAGGTTCTCAGGCCATGACACTAGTTTGACCTTGGTCTATGGTTTCATTTTTTTTTTTTCAATTTAGACAGTTCATTTATTTAAGCAATAAACCATATAATATAGGGAGAATTGTAGCCATAGTTTACCTAAATCTTTAGTTTGTGTCACCCACAGTCCTAAACCTTTGAAATTGTCGCACTAGAAGGACAGCCCCATCCATTTGACAGTTAGTTGACTAGAATAGTGGACTTTGACATACCAATTTTTAAAAGGGTAAAATGGTAAGTTTACATTTTTTTTCACAAAAACACAATTAATGATTAAATAAAAAATAAAAACCAAAACCAACCTACCCATTTCCTTCTTCCCCACCACATCCCCCGCCACCCATCTAGCGGCCAATCGTTGCCTTCACCGCCACCCATCCAAATGTCGGCACCACCGTCGCCTATGTAAACTCATAATCATTTTCAAGCTCCTCGAGAATGGGTTATTGGCAACAATAGACTCGCATTACTTGCTGCTATGAGAATATTGTGAGTGGTTTTGGGAAGAAAAAGAGTCACTCGCCTCCACTTGCCATTGCCTGCCACAGTCGCCACCGATGCCTACCACCGCAAACTGCCACAACTCCCAACCTCAAAATTCATATGCAAAGTAACACCACCCACAACCGCAAAATTTATCTCCTTCAATCGCTTACTTGTCTCATCCAATGAGCATGGGGCCGTCTGAGATATTTGGATTCGCGAAATCCCAAAATTCGACAAGCAAAAAATGGTCACCTCTATCCAGCTTATGCAAAGTAGGTGAAAATCTTGTTTTTGAAAGTTACAACATATTGATGAAGGGAAAAAGGTGAGTAAAGAAAGGGGGAAGAATGGGTGGCAGTGGTGGCAGCCAATTGTCAAGAAGCTATTTGTAAGTCGAGGAATTGATAAGGTTTTGTGGAGGGCCGAAAGATTTGTGAAAAAGTTTCTTCAAATGAATTATTTGTGGGTTAAACACTATGGCCACGAAGGCGACAGTGGTGTTGGCGTCGGGTGGCGAAGCTGCTGTTCGTTTTGGGTTTGGTTTTGGGTGGGGTGGGGTTGGTGTGAAAAAAAGGTTTTGATTTTGGGTTTTTTTTAAAAAATTATTATAGTTGTATATTTTGTGGAAAATGTAAATTTATCATTTTACCCTTTTAAAAATTGGTCAAAATATGTCAAACTTTACTATTCTGGTCTTCCGGTCAACTAACAGTCAAATGGATGATTTTCCTTCATTTGTCCTTCTGTTGCAACTATTTCAAAGGTTTAGGTCCGTGGGCACAAACTAAATATTTGGGTAAAATATGCGACAAAATGAAAGATCTGGGACCATGATTGCATTTCTCCCTATAATATATCATAAAACATAGGATACTGAAATATTTCACCATGGGAATGAAGGTGACTTTTGGACAAACACAGCCTACATGCCCTCCAAACTCCACATTCCGAACATGCTCTAACCCCTTTTGGATCAATAGAGATTTTCGGTTCCAAGAAATACATAATGTGAATTTTCTCAATTTTATTTGACTGCCTCCATTTTATGAAATTCAATTCGGATGGTGTTATAAAATTTAGTCCTCTTCCCTATCTGTTTTATGTTTGAGTGATGATATGATGATTTTTAACTGACCTCCGATGATGATGTAACAGATTTCCAGGTTGCTTGCTGTTCTATATGTACTTTCTACATCATTGGAGCCTTTTTCTTTATCTCCAAGAGAAGTAGGACGCGAAAGTCAATGGGCTTCCTTTTTTCATCAAGCTTCAATTGGAAATTATCTTAATCAACAGCTCTATGGTATGATGAAGAAGCAACAAAATCAACATGATAAAGATTCGGTATGCCATTTTAAATGTTTCCTCTTTTGGAAGTACATGAAGTTGATGATTGGTCATATTGTGGTGTGCATTTTTCTAATCTTATTATTATTACATTTTGCATGTACCATCATTAGTGCAAGTCCTTATGAACTATCTTAGGTACTATACTTTAGTTCTTACCATATTGTTTGTATGTGTAATTAAAGTTTTATTTAACTACGTCTGTTTGACTTGTTAGTATTGAGGTCGGTCGCGTGTTAACTATTCATAAGTATCCCGTACTCTTAGATTGATTCAATTCTTGGTATAGAAAGATTTTGTGTAACTTTAGGCATGAAAATGAATCACCAAACAAGTTAACACGCACACATTATTGTCACGGTTCCCGATTGATGACGTAGCCAAGATAGCTTAAAGATGAAGGGTGGACTTTCATGTAGAACTTAAGATTTCAACGACTCCAAGTTAATATAAAACATTTCAAACATTATAGGGGCATTTTATGCCAAGGCGAGATGGAAGAAGTCAAGAGGTGAAGAAAGTAATAAATTTTCACTGTGGGACCTCCACGAAGAGGCACATTGAAGAAGGAAAGCTATAAAAGTGTGTATTGGAAGCTAATATAAATATAGCACTGGAAATAAATAGTGGATTCATGTCGCAGTTCCAAATGAATATGGGGATGGGAACATCTTGACTAGAGGAACTTTCCAGCACTTGCATTCAGCAACATAGAAAACCACTCTGGGAAAAAAAATTGTATATGTTTAAGTTTGGGTTAGAGCTTTTAAGTTGATATTTGTCTTTTGCTTAGCCTATTTATTCAAACCTTTCATTATGTTTAAGTATCGCTTATGAGCCTGTGTGGATGAGTGATTTCTCATTATTGCATAGACTGAATTTCAAAATACTGTCTAAATTATTAATCTAATGGTCAGTAGGAAATGATATTTATTTTTCATGCTCTGTCATTTTTATGGACTATAGATTTCTCATCAATATCACATTTTTCATTTTGTCTAGAAATATTACAGGGCTATGTTTGGTTAGGCTGTATGAAGAATTTAGTATAAAATATTAGTGGATAGTATTAGGTAGAGAGTATTATAGTGGACTAAAAAGGATAGCATTCTTTAATTTTACATTTAAAAGGTAGTCATATGCACAATTAACCATTTAACACAATACAGGGGTGGTGAGTTTAGGCTTGATAAAAAAGGAGAGTATTTGGCATTCTCTTAAATGAAAATTCAGAGATTATTATCCACCATAATACCTTCTACTAAGTAATAATATTTATAATTTATACTACATTTTTTTTTGTCCTAATCTGGTGCACTAAATGTGACCCAGATGCACAGTCTTGGTAGATTTAGTTCATGTTACCACGTACCGTCTTTACTGATTAGTTTGACGTGGAATACAATCCATGTGATCATTTATTGTTATACTTATTACAAGGGCATTGTGGAGACCCTTATTTAATTTATGGCCGGTACCATTCCACTGTTATAAGAAAATATCTGCAGAGGTAAGTTAAATGCAAGAGACGGAAAATTCCTGGATCTTACTCTTTCTACTTCTTATTATCTTCTCTTTATGGCCTTTTTTAATTTAGGAACTTCAAGGAAGCGCATGTTAAGTCATTGTGTGCCACATTTTTCGTGCTACTTTATCCTGGTTGCCCTTTTGATTTCTGATTGTTTCTTTTTCAGGATTCTTTGCTTCCAAAATCACTGTCCACTGTCACTGATACACTGAACTCACTCAGGTTAGACTGATATAAATAGAATGAACCATACCATGACTTTTCCTATGTCTGTTCCTAATTGAAATGGGATACTATACTCCATGAATAATTGTAATAAATTAGATATGCGATGACAAAAAGACCCTACCTTTCCTATTTGATGGCATTATACTAGATTGCAAATCTGTCTTTTCCAAACATAATGTAATTTATTGCTCGTGCACGGGAACAAGGAACTTTAGTTTATCGTAAAAAACTTAAGTCATCAGTCCCTTAGAATAACAAAAACTAAATGCTAATAGGTGCTGTAGTATTTAGTTTTTGATATTCCAAGGGACTGATGTTTTGCTGAAGTTCTTTGTGATAACTTAAAAGTTTCTTGAACTTGTTCACAAGCAATAAATTATTGTATGTTAGGAAGATACAGATTTGCACTTTGGTATAATGCCATCAAATAGGAACATACAAGGGCCTTTTTTTCTTCTCACTATCTAATTTAATACAACATAATGCGTTCCAAAACCATTTAATTTTTTTCCGTCTATAACCCCCCTTGGCATGTTTCAGGCTCGTGCCAGAATCACATGAAAATCTTGAAGAATTTGTTGCAAGATTTTTTCAAGACCTGCCTTGCGCTCCAGTTATTTGCATTAGCTTGATTTCAGGTGCTGATGCTCGTCTGTTGAGAGAACTGTCGTGTTGTCCTTCGACAGTTGAAGTATGGATTCTATTATCCCATTTGAATTCAGAAAATCAGCATGTTATACTTCTGCCAGTGAATTCAATATTGGAAGGTATTTAAGTTCAGAAAGCATGGAATTGTAATTTCCTTTGAAATTTAGTAGTATCTACTTGTTGCATTAAGATGTTGTCGTTTTATGTTAGGAGGACTTTCAGATGATGACATGGACTCCAGTTCATGTGTCTCCTTTAAAGGCAAAGATTTTGTGAAGAGTTGGAAGTGTCCTTGGGTCACCACTGTGGTAGATTACATAGCCCCAAAATTCAGACAGCTATTGGAGGGGAACTACTACTCATCCTCTGGACATTTCCAAGAGGATACAAAAGAGAGCAGATTATTGTGGTGGAAGAAAAGGAACAGACTTGATAAATGCCTCTGTAAATTTATACAGTAAGTTCCCTTTTGAAAATACATATAACGAATTTTGCTTGTGAATCAGAGTTGACTGCTGTATATTTTCTTTTAAATTTAGTTGATTTAAATTACAGAAATAAATTTTGATCGAATTTTAGTGTATGCCTTGAACCCCTCCGTTATGGGAAGAAATAAATGCCTGCACAGTTATGTGCACTTCTGGAGAAATCTTAGGTTATAGAACCATATTTTACTATCATTATGGGGATCTTTAGTTTATTATTTACAAAATTGTGTGTTTTCTTTTAAAAAATTTGATTAAGCTACAAGAGATAAATTGTTAATGGAATTTTAACATATGCCTTGAACCTCATGTTTATGTTGTAGCAGAAATGGTAAGAAACTGTTTTCTGCTCTGCAGACGAAAACTTAGTTCATAGCAGCATATTTTATTAGCATTACAATGATGTGATATTTGGTTCAATATTTACCTAACTTTCTGATTTAATTAATTTTATGCTAACTTGTCTTCATGTATCAGAGATGTGGAAGATCATTGGCTAGGTGTTTGGAAATATGTGCTTTCGGGAGAATGGCCAAACCTCAAACATCTGGATTCCATAGAAGATGGCCTCTGTGAAGAAGAGAAATGTGTTCTACGAATTATCTCGAGTAAAAAATGCTATCTTGATGTCAGATCAGAGGCTTCATCATCTAAAGTGTCTGTTGATATTGATAGTCTCATGCAGTCAGTTTTCGAAAAAATACATGCAACACCAGATGATGATAAGGTTGAATGCACGAAGAGAAGTCCAATTATTTTGGTTTTGGATTTCGAGGTTCAGGTACACCCACTTCTTAATTCCTATGTTAAGATGTTTGTCACTGTTCATATTTGTCTTGTCAAGATGTTTGCCATGCTGAATTCACCTGGTACTATTATATTTAAGGCATTTTGGAGTATATAATCAATTAGTTTGCTTTTTTCTCTAGAATAATATTTTGGTTGGCAATATCACCATGATCCTTGCTGTCATACTCTTCTGCTTTTATTAAAAGGTTAGTTAAGCAATGTTGATTGTTCTCTGCAGATGCTGCCATGGGAGAATCTGCCAATACTGAGAAACAAAGAGGTTTATCGCATGCCCTCTGTTGGAAGCATTGTTGCAACACTCAACAGATGTTGCCAAGACCAGGCTATAACCTTTCCACTGATAGATCCTGTAGACCTATATTATTTATTGAATCCAGATGGTGATCTTAACCATACACAGGTTGAATTCGAGAACTGGTTTCAAGATCAGAATTTCGAGGTAAACCTAATTTTGATTTCTTATGAATTTGATTAAAAAAGGACTTGCCAAGTTGCAATTACGCCTCTTCTAGTCTTCCTTCTATTGATTGTGTAATTTTCCATAGACACAGTTTTCACACCTCCATATTCTTTTAATTGAGGATCTGAATTGACTTTGTGATGCAGGGAAAGTCTGCAACTGTGCCTCCTATCAACGAGCTGACGGTAGCTTTGAAAAACCATGACCTGTTTGTTTATATGGGTCATGGAAGCGGTATGCCTAAACTTTTTCCCCTTCAGTTGCACTTTTGTATGTCTCGACAATCCTAAAAAACTCATAATGATTTCTTTCACAATGACATTTCAGGAATGCAATATATCCCCGGAAGCAAGATTCAAGAACTTGATAGTTGTGCTGCAACTCTACTAATGGGATGCAGTAGTGGTTCTCTTTCCTTGAGAGGGTGCTATGCCCCACGAGGAGCTCCCATCTCGTATCTGTTGGCTGGTTCTCCTGTTATTGTGGCTAATTTGTGGGAGGTAACTGACAAGGACATCGATAGATTTGGTAAGGCTGTGCTTAATGCTTGGTTAAGAGAGAGAAAAGAAGCTCCTCCAGATTGTACTCAATGTAATATGAATGTAAAGAAATACAAGTCTATAGATCGTTGTACTCACAGACCGAGAATTGGATCATTCATGGGGCAAGCTCGAGATGCTTGTACCCTCCCTTTTCTCATTGGTGCTTCACCAGTTTGCTACGGTGTTCCTACCTGTATAATGCGAAAGAAAAATGTATAGGATGATTATTCGTAAATAAAGTTTGTAATTTGTTTATTGCACTTGAAAATAGAAAAATACAAGCTGTAATATGTTTATCGTATCGTCCATATTATCGAGCCATCCGAAAAATGAGCATGAAAATGTAGGAGTACAAATGTTTGTGTTAACCCTTTACTACCCATTGACTAAGACCTAGAAAATCTACACACTCACATTTTCCTTCCTTCTCTAACCCCATTAAAATCTAATTCAATTTCCACTTGCATCTCTGCGATTTCTTCTGGAACGTCTCAAAAGGACTCTACCTTGACGACGTAGACAGCCAATCATCCTCATTAAAATCATCGTCATGTTGATCAAAGTAATCAGAAGCACATCTACCTAATGCATGGTTGGAATCTCTCTTGTGCGATCATCTATCTGCCGAACCAAATGCTCCATGCCATCTGCATCATAATGCTCCTCTTCGCCTGAATTGAACACAGCTCCCGGCACTGATGACCTAATTGTGCTCATTGAAGAGCGTTGTCCAAGTCTTTAGAGTTTGTTTGTCAGTTGAATAAAGACCTAGTCCTTAGGATTAGGTTATGCTTTGATGTAGTCTTTACTTTCTGTTAAAACACGTGGCTGTGTGTAGCCGATACGTGAGCATGTTTTCAGTTCAGTTTGTTAGAGTCTGAGGCTATATAATAGCCAGAGTTGTAGTTGAATAATATGCAGTCGCATTCAATCCAGTTTTGTGACTTTGAGTGTGTTACAAAGTTCTCATTCCTAACAAATTGGTATCAGAGCCTCCACTGGGCGTGAGAATAGAGTAAAAGCCGCAGCTTAGTGACGGAAACACAGAGAGAGAGATGAGTGAGGATAAGAGTTTGACAAAGATCCCTCACTTCGATGGTGTCCACTATGACCATTGGGGTGAGCTGATGGAAAATTTCCTCAGATCAAAGGGATTATGGAGTCTCATAGAGAATGGTTTCGAAGAACCAGGAACGAGAATAGGGTTGACCGATGCGCAGCTATCGTTGTTGGATGATGCAAGGACCAAGGATCACAAGGTGAAGCACTACCTGTACCAGGCCATCGACAGAGTCACTTTCGAGCAAATTCTGGACAGACATAACTCAAAGGTTGTCTGGGACTCACTGAAGAGGAAATTTGGTGGGAATGCTCGAGTTAAGAGGTCTCTTCTTCAAGCTTTGAGAAGAGACTTTGAGGTGTTGGAGATGAAGAAAAGCGAGACAATCACTGAGTATTTCGCTAGGGTCATGGCTGTGGCAAACAAAATGAGGAGCAATGGTGAAACCATGCCGGATTCCAAAGTGGTAGAGAAGATCTTGAGGACGTTGACTGAGAGATTCACCTATGTGGTGGTGTCTATCGAGGAGTCAAAGGACACAGACACCCTCTCAATTGATGAGCTGCAAAGTTCACTTGTGGTTCATGAGCAGAAGTTCCACAGGCTGAATCGAGAAGAAGACGATCAGGCCTTGAAGATTGAAGATCGAGCTGGTGCTAGAGGCCGGGGGAGAGCAATTCTCAGAGGAAGAGGTCGAGGGAGAGGACGACAGTCCTTCAATAGAACAACAGTAGAATGCTTTAAGTGTCACAATCTTGGACACTTTCAGTATGAATGTCCAAAGTGGAACAAAGAGGCCAATTATGCACAACTTGATGAAGAAGATGAACTGCTCCTGATGTCGTATGTGGAGATGCATGAGGCAAAGAGAAGCAATGCTTGGTTCCTAGATTCCGGGTGCTCAAATCATATGTGTGGTGATCGAGGTATGTTTTTGAGTTTGGATGTTGGTTTTACGCATTCAGTCAAGCTTGGAAATAACACTAGGATGAGTGTGGCTGGGAAGGGAAGTGTAAGACTAGTGTTCAATGGTGCTGCTTTTGTTGTTGGAAACGTGTATTATGTTCCAGATCTTAGGAACAATCTTTTGAGCATCGGGCAGCTACAGGAAAAAGGCTTGGGAATCCTGATCCAAGATGGAGCATGCAGCATTTACCATCCAGAAAGAGGGCTGATTGTGTACACCCTGATGAGTGCTAATCGTATGTTCATCATCTTAAATGAAGCTTCAGCCTCTACGAGATCCCTTCCTCAACCAGAAGAATGTTTTCATACAAGCTCCTGGGATTTGACATATCTGTGGCACCAGAGGTATGGACACTTGAGTCATAAGGGGCTGAGGACATTACAATTCAGGAAAATGGTGCACGGTCTACCTCAGTTTAGAGCTTCACAGGTTGTTTGTACTGATTGCTTCAATGGCAAGCAACACAGGAATGCCATTCCAAAAAGAAGTTTGTGGAGAGCAAGTCAAGTACTGGAGCTGATTCATGCAGACATTTGCGGGCCCATCTCCCCTACATCCAACAGTGGCAAAAGGTACAGTCTATGTTTTATAGATGACTTTAGTCGTAAATCATGGGTGTATCTTTTGCTTGAGAAGTCAGAAGCACTGAATTGTTTTAAGAAATTCAAAAAGTTGGTGGAAAAGGAAGCAGAAGTATCTATCAAGTGCCTAAGGACTGACAGGGGAGGAGAATTCACATCACATGAATTCAATGTTTTTTGCGAAGAGCATGGAATCAAGAGGCAGCTCACTACTGCTTATACGCCACAACAAAATGGCGTCGCCGAGAGAAAGAATAGAACAGTAATGAACATGGTACGCTCCATGTTATCTGCCAAGAAGATGCCAAAGCCTTTCTGGCCTGAAGCTGTGGTTTGGACGTTCTATGTTTTGAACCGGTGCCCTACCTTAGCCGTGAAAGATGTCACACCGCAAGAGGCATGGAGTGGAGTTAAACCATCTGTTGCTCACTTTCGAGTTTGGGGCTGCGTTGCCCATGTCCACATCCCAGAAGCAAAACGAGGTAAATTAGATGATAAAAGTTTTCCTTGTATCTTATTGGGAGTCAGTGAAGAGTCTAAAGGTTATAGGCTATTTGATCCTAAAACAAAGAGAGTGTTTGTGAGTAAAGATGTTGTGTTTGAGGAAGAACAGCAATGGGATTGGGGTGAAAAATATGAGGAGCAGATTGGGTCAGAGTTGGTTTGGGGTGATGATGGTGAGCTCAGCGATGAAGAAACTGAGGGAGAGAATAGAGGTGATGATGGTGACGGTGATGTTGGGGTGAATGGTGAAAGACAGGGTAGAGAACACTCTAATGAAGCTATTGGGAGCACTAGCGAGGTCAGTGGCAATGAGGGTAGAGAAGTACGTCACTCTGAGGGTAGCACAGTTGAAGGGAGAGAAAGAAGACCACCACATTGGGCAGAAGATTTTGTGAGTGGTGAGGGTCTGAGTGAAGATGAGGAGGCAGTGTATATGGTGCAAGACGCTACAGGAGAAGATCCTACTTTATTTGAAGATGCTGTAAGAGAAGATAAATGGAGAAAAGCCATGGATAGCGAGATCAACTCCATCGAGAAGAACAAAACCTGGGTTCTAACTGAATTGCCGGCAGGAGCTAAGAAAGTTGGTGTCAAATGGATTTACAAAACAAAACGTGATGAGCATGGTGAAGTTGTCAAGCATAAGGCTCGTCTCGTAGCTAAGGGGTATTCACAAAGAGAAGGCATTGATTACTCAGAAGTATTTGCACCAGTAGCAAGGTTAGATACGGTGAGAACCATCATTGCTCTAGCAGCTCAAAAGAAGTGGAGGATTTTTCAATTAGATGTCAAATCAGCATTTCTTCATGGAGACTTGAATGAAAAGGTCTATGTAGAACAGCCTAGAGGATATGAGAGGAAGGGAAAGGAGCATATGGTCTACCATTTGTACAAAGCCTTGTACGGTTTGAAACAAGCTCCCCGAGCTTGGTTCAGCCGCATTGAAGCATACTTTGTTAGTAAAGGTTTCCAGAGATGTGAAAGTGAGCAAACTTTGTTCACTAAGAGGAGCAACGAAGGCAAGATCATCATTGTAAGCTTATATGTTGATGATTTGATTTTTACCGGTGATGATGCTAATCTATTGCTTGAATTCAAGACTTCCATGATGAAAGAATTTGATATGACTGATATGGGGAGCATGAGTTATTTTCTTGGGATAGAAGTGTTACAAAAAACAGGAGGCAATTTTATCTTTCAGAGAAGATATGCATTGGAGGTGTTGAAAAGGTTTGGAATGTTGAAGAGCAACATGGTCACCAGTCCAATTGTGCCGGGGTCCAAGATAGGGAAAGATAAGCATGGTGTCACGGTTGATGAAACTTACTACAAACAGCTTGTAGGAAGTTTGATGTACCTAACTTCTACACGGCCTGATCTGATGTTCGTTACAAGTCTACTCAGCAGATATATGGCAAAACCCACTGAACTTCACTTGCAGGCTGCCAAACGAGTCCTCAGGTATTTAAAAGGCACAGTAGACTATGGCATTTACTACAAAAATGGTGGTGATGACAAGTTAATGGCATTTACTGATAGTGATTATGCCGGAGACATGGAGGACAGTAAGAGTACGAGTGGATATGCTTTTCTGTTAAGCTCAGGAGCTATCTCATGGAGTTCAAAGAAACAACCAATTGTGACTCTGTCAACAACTGAGGCAGAGTTTGTTGCTGCAGCAAATTGTGCGTGCCAAACAATTTGGTTGAAGCGAATACTGAAGGAGCTGGGGCATGAAGAGGAGGACTGTACCTGCATCAAATGTGACAACACGTCCACCATCAAACTTTCAAAGAACCCAGTGTTACATGGACGCAGCAAGCACATACGTGTGAGGTACCATTTTCTCAGAGATCTTACAAAGGAAGGTTCAATTGTTTTAGTTCATTGTGGAAGTACTGAACAAGTAGCTGACATAATGACTAAACCCCTAAAGTCTGATACATTTCTTAAACTTCGGAGCATGCTGGGAATGTGTGAAGTTAGTGAAGTAAGCTAAATTGTTTCACTGAATTTAGCTTAAGGGAGAGATTGAAGAGCGTTGTCCAAGTCTTTAGAGTTTGTTTGTCAGTTGAATAAAGACCTAGTCCTTAGGATTAGGTTATGC